ACATTTCAGTTTTTGAATTAAATATTCACATGAGAGATTCACCATGAAGTTTCATAGATAAACATACGTTTATTTGCTTGCAATACTAGTATATATTGAAATGTCAATAATTACTACCGGGGGGTAACAGGCAATTCCTGGCAAGTGAGTACAGCCCAGCAGTTTATTGATTTATTAAAAATAGGAATGACATAACCATAGAATGAAGTGTATGTGTGCTGCAGATGTTGAAAACTTACATGCTTGAGTTGAACTTGATGTAAGATGACGTCATGTCTGTCTTAGGTGTCACCTCAGCTCGAAGTAGCTAGAATCGTTCTGAGTTCAATATGGCCTGTCCATTTTGGGGAAAACAATTATTACCGGTACTGAACATTTCTAAAAAATGTTTTGCTATGAACGTCTCACTGATTATAATTTGTTGAACAACAAAATTGAGTCAATCATGTATAGGAAGTGCATCATTTTAACACTTCAGATTCATTCCATATACTCTTAATTCATTTTCTTTGTGTGTGTTTGGAGTAGGGGGGGTGGTGGAGTTGCGTACTAAAAAGGGTGCAAAACTGGCTTTGAAGTCACAAATCTATAAAAAGATAATATAAAGATGATTTTTTTAATTTTGTGTATCCATTATAAACATCTTGATCTTTAATTACAGGATTCTTACGCAAGGTTTATTGTATCCTGTCTGCTCAGCTGTTGGTTACCACAATAACATGCGCTGTGTTTATGAGTGTTGAAGAAATCAGATTCCTTGTACAGAATAGGTAAGTCTCATCTAATATACCCTTGTCTTAATATAGTAAATATACATTAGAATAAAAAAAACACATGAAACTCACAAAGTGCTACAGTTGTTGCATGTACACTAGAGGTTTTCCTGGAAAAAAAACTGTAAGAAGGAGCACTGCAATTCAGCGGCACTACCAAGTGGGGGAGATAGGGTTCTCCCTACCAGGGTATGGAGTTTTTGATAATTCTAAGTTAAAATTGAGCATTTTTGGGGCCAAAATTACTACCAGACAGGTCACAGTTGAAGACTGTGGCCACATGTGATCACTGGTCAATCAATTTTATGATTGCCAGAGGATCTGCTCCCCTAGTAAGGGGTGCATTTCCATGGCATGAGGGCGCTGCGCCCCTGTTCCCTTGTTTAAAAAAATCCCTGTGTACACAATACATTTCACTCCTGTAGCATGGCAACCAATATCAAAAACCAACTAATTGGGCAAGTTCATAGCAGAATAAAATCTTGGTTGTTGAAATGTCACGATTCACACTCGTTCTGTGTCCATTGTTAATAAATAACATTCAACTACTGGTATTACATTCTTTCAGTGCATTTATGTTAATATTTGCCTTCATCATCTCCATGGTATCAGTTATAGCATTGTTGATCAAGCGACATGAATACCCCACCAACATGATTCTTCTTGGCGTTTTCGTAAGTATTATTTGTCAATGTCTTGGCCTTGATGCACATTCAATAAGCAGTAGTTTTCAATGTTTGTTCATTTTCATGTATGTAATTAAAGGAAGATAATCATTTCATCCCTATTATATATTCAATTGTAGAATACAATAGAAAACAAAAGTCTTTTTTTAGCTCCGCTGTCGACTTTGTCGAGCGGAGCTTATCATATGAGTGATTGTCCGTCGTCGTCGTCTGTGTCAATGTTTTACTTTTTCAACTTCTTCTTGAAAACTACAAGCCTGAATGCTTTGATACTTGGTGTATATGTACCTTGGGTAGACCTCTCTTAGGTTTGTTCATTTCATGTTGATAACTTCAATTCTCTAATTTTAGTGAATATTTTTGTATTTTTGGTAAAAAGTGATATTTTCGACTTCTTGTTAAAAACCGCAAGTTCAATTGATTTGATACTACATATATAGGTACTACATGTGGACCTCTCTCAGATTTGTTCATTTCGTGATGATATCTTCAATTCTCTAATTTTGGTGAATATTTTTGTCATTTTTGGTAAAAAGTGATATTTTCGACTTCTTGTTAAAAACCGCAAATCCCGATTGCTTTGATATTACATATATAGGTACTACATGTGGACCTCTCTCAGATTTGTTCATTTTGTGATGATATTTTCAATTCTCTAATTTTGGTAAATATTTTTGTAATTTTTGGTAAAAAGTGATATTTTCGACTTCTTGTTAAAAACCAATAGTCCGATTGCTTTGATATTACATATATAGGTACTACATGTGGACCTCTCTCAGATTTGTTTGTTTTGATATGATATGATATCTTCAATTCTCTATTTATTTTGGTGAATATTTTTGTAATTTTTGGTAAAAAGTGATATTTTCGACTTCTTGTTAAAAAATGTAAGTCCGATTGCTTTGATACTATTCATATTGTTCATTTTCTAATGATGTCTTCAGTTCTTTAATTGAAATGTGCATTACTAACAGCGGAGCTATCTCAGCCAATAGGCTGCTTGTTTAGCTCCGCTGTCGACTTTGTCGAGCGGAGCTTATCATATGAGTGATTGTCCGGCGTCGTCCGTGTAAGTGCAAAAAATTGCTAAAAAAAAATTATTTTTATCTTAATAACTAAGTTGCATTTTTGTGGGAGTATCATGATCAAAGTACCAAAGTCTCGCACAGATGAGAAACAAGATTATACATGGAATAAAATTTTATTTCATTTCTTCTCTCCGATCAATGATCTCACTTACAATTCTTTGAGAATCACACAAATCTAATAATTTTATTTTGTTTTCGCCCTCCTCAAACAAATTGCCTTATAAAAACTCGAGGAACAAGGAATAAAATAAGTCTGGCCTTACAGAAATAAAAGTTGAAAACAGATTTTGTTACTCTGATTGATACTTTCCAATCATTTTTTATTTACAGACTCTGGTAGAAGCCTATAGTGTTGGTACCATTGTGACATTCTACGATAAAATGGTTGTAGTACAAGCCTTTGCACTGACTGTATCCGTGGTTATCTGTCTCACAATTTATACTCTACAAAGCACTAGAGATTTCAGTTCCTGGGGAGCTGGGTAAGTACAAATAGTTACATTTCTTTGTATGTACATGTGTATGCAAGACAGACTTCCCCTCCAGTCGGTGTGCAATTGTGTGCCACACTAGCTTTTGATTCATCTGTACAGATGATTTAGGTTTTTTGAATATTAATTCATCTGTGTACTTAGTATCCTGGCAAATGATATATAATCTGTCTAAAAATAAATCTCAACTGTAATAAAGTGAACATGTGCCACCATTAGATGAATTGTTAAACAAAACAATACATATCTTGGAAATTCACAACTGTTAAACAAGCAAATGCTTTGATAATGGCTGACGATATTATTCAGTGAATGGAAAATATCACAGTAAATCATTCAAACATGTGACGACTCGTATACATGCAAAGTCGTTCATATTTTAAGTTTTTGCAGAGAAAGAAGGATGATGTGTGTTCAAGAAAACATTTTAAAACATTTTTTATAGGATTCTATGGATAACTTATAATAATATTCAAAATTCTCCAATATTTTGTGACAGCCATATGTAGCCCTCATTTTTTTAGCATAGGTCACCAAACAAAATTATGAGATATGATGGAATGTTTTTGCTATAGAAACCAATTTTAAACTACTCAAAACGCGCATATTTTATCAATTTTCAAGGTCGTTTTGTAGAAAAATTAGTATGGTGACCATATATTTTTATTTCAGAATTTTGAAAATTACAGTAATCTAATCTACTTGTATCTCACTGGATTTCAAGGTTTTCTGGGTATTTGTTTTTTAAATGGTAGCAAACTATCTCAAATTACAAATATCCCAAAAAACAGACTGTCTGGAGAGTGAATGAAACCTGAAAATTTCAGATATGTGTGTACCTGTATTTTTGTCAGTGCGAGTGTATTGTGGATTTTAATAGAATAACGGTTTCTCAGTCCCAGTGTTTATGCTCTCATACCAAAATAGCTGGGGCTTACTAAAAACAATGATGAGAGGGTCCAATTCATATTTACCCGGTATGTTGATCAAAACGATCCATTGATATCACATACATTACAGTGTTATCGTTTGGTGGTTCAATTGCATGCATCACATGTTCATTTTATCAAACAGCTGTGCTTCGCACAATGCTGTATTACCTAATATAACAGCTGATTGACATTTTGTTTTTGTATTAAGATAAAAGCTTAACATTTAACATTTACCGGTATTACTGTCATTGCAAGAATAATCGCTGGGCAACGTTTCAATTTTCATCACTGTTTTTGCTCACCATATAGCTATACATCTAGCAGTAATGCTTTTAATCAAGCTAATACAAAATATTGACAGTAAATAATGATTTAGAGGCAACAAAACATCATCTGAAACATAAAACAAAAAATTCTCCCATTCTACCATATGTTGCACACTTCACTGATACGCAAATTTGCAACAAGGAAAAAAAATGGCTTGGACGCAGATTTCAAACTACATGTACCGGGGGCAACATGCATTATACAAAGCAAAGGCTAATTTTTTTTTTACTGAACGCTTTCCGGTGTATTGGTTGTGGGTGGCGTGACAGTCCTGTACCGGTACTTAACCTTGTCACCTCTTTCATTACAAATTCACAAAATAGTCCCGTTTATAGTCTGCACTTGCCTTCAGAAGATTGGGATAGTCAAATTTTTGGAGTATAAACTGAAAATTGACTCAAATTTTGTCTGTTGACTAGAAATTAGAGTTAATTTTCAGAATATGCAGTGTAGAATTTGCATAGAATTAGCATATCTAGTTTGCATATAATTAGCATACCAATCAAACATTTCAAAGAAAATTCATAGCACTTTTATACATGTATTTACATTAACCTCAAATACTGTGTACAAGTACTATATTAATGTTCTTGCATTATTTTGATAAATAAATTAAACCACTAGATGTCAAAAAAATATCAACTTTGACAGATGAAGAATATCCATTTTATTCTCTGTAATGGAACAAGTTGTGAAATTCTAGCCTTTCATTCATTACTTTTAAATTTCTTTCAAGTAATTTCATTTTTTCATAAGTTTTATAAATGCACTGATATATTGTAATAGTTGAAAAACTCAAGTAATAAGAAGAAAAATATTTTCACATAACAAAATTTACATTTAAAAGAAAAAAGAAAAAATCGAATCCGATGACTGTAAGTAAATTGATCATTATATTGATTGCGTTATGGGTACTGAGGACAAAGGTCAAATCAGATACCGTGCCATCCATGTTGTTTCAGTGTTTACTGTACGTTTTGTTTTGGCGATTCTTTTGATGATTTTTTTTTACTTTTCGCCAATAAAAGGCAAGTAACAAGCAATTGGACCAATAAATTGTTGTTGGTTCTTCTGTTCTTAAGTATCTCAGCTAATTCAGGAATGATGAGAAAACTTGTTTTGACTCTCCCATTGTGTGATTAACGCAATGCTTGTGACAATCACTTCACGCCTCCAGCCATTGTTTTTTGTTTATTTATTCAGCCAGTGTTTCCCCTGGCACCCAATCCATTGTCCTAGTTGTCACCTATGCCACTATCTGTCTCTTAGTTCTTTGTTTTATCGCTTGTCAATTAATAAGAGGTCTCTCAATAATGTCTTTGGGACATCTTCCGGGACTGGTAAAACAGCTGTGCACCGAAAACAATGGAGGGCGTTGAAGATAAATAGAGGGGCGCTACAAATTGAAGAGGGGCGCAAATAAATTAAAGAGAGGCGCTGCGCTCCTCTTAAACCCCTCGTGGAGAACACTGATATGTATAGTATCAAAGCAATCAGACTTGTGGTTTTTAACAAGAATTCAAATATATTACTTTTTACCAAAAATGACAAAAATATTTATCAATATTGGAGAATTAAAGATATCATTACAAAATGAACAAATCTGAAAGAGGTCCACATGGAGTACCTATATATGTAATATAAAAACAATCGGACTTGCAGTTTTTTACAAGAAATCGAAAATATCACTTTTTACAAAAAATGACAAAAATATTCACCAAAAATAGAGAATTTGAGATTTTGACATGAAATATACAAATCTAAGAAAGAACCATCCAAGGTACTTGCATATCAAATTTGAAAACATTCTGACTTGCGGTTTCGAAGAAGAAGTTGAAATTGTAAAGTTGACGACGGCGGACAATCAGTAATATGAACAGCTCCGCTTTGTCGACAGCGGAGCTGAAAAGTGGAGAATAATTTAGGCAAATAAAGTCTGGTGTTAAGGTAGCGAGAAGGGAAATTTTCACTTTTTTCTTGATTTTTCAAAAATTCATAAAACGATTACTTTAGACTTTGATACATCACCCCAGGTTTACAAAAGATCGAAATTGCGAAATAATGTTGCTCAAATTAGTGTTTTAAAACACTAGCAGAAAAGACTACCACTGGCGTTTCGTGGATATTTGCATAATGTTTATCTTTGAAAGGTTTTAAATGATAACATCTTATCTGTATACTCTGTTGTTGACGATTCTGATATAACGGGTGATAAGCTTCCAGTTGCAAACAATGCATGTTCATCTAACGTCCATTGTCAGCATTATTGTCAGTCGAGACTTCGTCGAGAAACATGGTCATACAGTACTCATTTCGCCCAACCTTCCGCTTTTGCATCGACCGCTTATCGCTTAATTTCCGACCACGCGGTCTTGTCCGACCGGAAACCGACCGCATTTTAATCGCGTTTTTTTTTTCGCTCGCTCGCTCATTGAAAACATTGACCGCTCGCCCAAACACTGA